AAATCTTCATGCTAAAGGACGATTCTCCTCACAAGTAGACAATTTTCCATTTTTCACTTCCTCATTGAAAGGAACAATCGATAGATGATTTTTTTTTTCTGCAGAGCCAGTAACCAGAGGCCCTTGATGTGGTTGACATTGGGATAGTAAGTCAAATCAAATCAGCCTCCCTATGTCATGATGTATAAAACTAAAACATTCTATGACCCTTGTTGCCCAGATATTATTTCTTAAAATCTGGTTAGAAGTAAATCAGGTACCAAATTTAAGGCTTAAGCAAGTTACTTTATTAATATTATAATAATAGCAGAGCAAAGCTAAGGACTGTGATTTAATGTCTCTGATTTAAACCCAATATTGAATCATAACCCATTCTTTCATGGACAGACACAGTTAAGTGATAAATTGATCAGTTAACTTAAGCAGTTTTAAAAGATTGTTGCTAAACCTTCATGTAATACTTAGCTAATGAATCATTCACGGGATTGTATCTTGCTTGAATTCTGCAGTCAATGCAAAAAGCTTCTGTTGGAGACTTTTACTTAGTGTCTGACAGACTGGGGTTCTTCTTCTCAGAGCTTCCAATAATTTGATAACTGGATGTAAACTAGAGAGTAACTAAAACTCCATCCTCCAGCTTTCACTGGCACACTGGCCACTAACAGATATCTGGATCATCTACAGCCATGGGTGAGGAGCCAGAGGACTAGAGATTGGCTAACGTTGGCCTTTATTAGTATAAAGGCTGTAAGGAGGAGCCTGATAGATGTAGATGGGTTGGTGTGGCACTAGTGATGGATAGGTTGTTGGAGGGGTTTGAGAGAGGTTTTATGTGCATTTGAAGATGCAAGAACTGATTAGGTATAGTCAGCATAGCTTTGTGTGTGTGATATCATGTCTCTCAAACTTGATGGAACTTTTTAAGGACATGACCAAAAAGATAGATGAGGGTAGGGTGGTAGATATTGTCTACATGATGTTTGTGAAGCATTTGACACGGTTGCCTGTGGTAGACTGGTTAGTAAAGTTACATCTCACGGGATTCAGGGAGAGCTTGCCAATTGGTTACAAACTTTGCTCAACAGTAAGACTGAGAGCGGGTGGTGGTAAAGGGATGTTTTCATACTGGGGGGGATGCCGATGATCAGTGATATTCCACAGGGATCGGTTCTGGGTTCACTGTTGATTGTCATATACATAAAATGATTCGGATTAGAATTTAAGAAGCATGGTCAGCAAGTTTGCAGGTTATAGCAAAATTGGTGGTATATTACATAGTGAAGACGGTTATCTAAGATTGCAAAGGGATCTTAATCACTTGGACCAGTGGGCTGATGAGTGGTAGATGGAGTTTAATTTAAACAAATGCAAGGTGTTGCATTTTGGTAAGACAAACAAGGGCAGAACTTATCCTGTTGATGATTGATTGTGTCCTGGGAAATGTTGTTGACAAGAGAGGCCACAGTTTCAGGTACACAGTTCATTGAAAGCAGCATAACATGTAGACAGGGTGGTAAAGAAAGCATTTAGTACACATACGTTCATTACTCAGAGCAGTGAGTATACGAGTTGGGGTGTCATGATGTGGTTGAAGAGGGCGTTGATGTGGCCAGTTTTGGTGTACTGTGTACAGTTCTGGTCACCTGGTTGTGGTTATAGGAAGGATATTATTAAATTGGAAAGGGGTCCAGAAAAGCTGGGACTTCTTTCACAGGAGCCTAGGAGGTTGAGGCGTGGCCTAATAGACTTCAATAAAATCCTGAAGGGCATAGATAAAGTGAATAGCAAAGGTCCTTTCCCTACAAGAGGGGTGGAGGGCGAGTTCAAAACGAGACAATGTGTTCTTAAGTGAGAGGAGAAAGATTTAAAAGGGGTAACCTTTTCATACAGAGAGTGGTTCGCTTGTGGAATGAACTGCCAGAAAATTGTAGATCCACATACAGTTACAACATTTAATAGACATTTGGACAAGTACGTGAATAGAAAAGTTTTCGAGGGATTTGGGCCAAGTGCAGGCAAATGGGGCCAGTTTAATTTGGGGAAACTTGGTCAGCATGGACGAGTTAGACCAAAGGGTCGGTTTCTGTGCTGTATGACTCTATGACACTGCCTTCTGCCAAACAAAAGCCAGTCAGACCCTGGTCAATTTTTGGTTTCTCTTTTTTCCAACGTTCTCTGCTTGAGCGGTCAACACCGGCCCCCCTTCGATTGCCTTTTTTAACATCCAAGCAGCTGCCAGGGCCTTGAATGTAATGTGCCCCAAGTGTGTCAACATCCAGACTGCTCTTTGACCAATAATCAACCAGCAATTAACTTTCGAGGCCACTTCCCATAAAGACATAACAGTTTGTCTTTTCTTTCCTATTTGTTTATTAAAACAAGCTGATACTCAAAGTCTACTGTTTAATTCTTAACTTCAACTCACAGTTTCAACCCAAGATGAAAAGCATTAAAAACAGTGACCGACCCAACAGCATTGAGTAACTATGCGATATCCATCATTGCAAACAAAGCCTTCTGTGACGACAGGGCATTCAGTGCCTTTCGGCTCATTTTTGACAGGGACGGGGGTAAATTCCTGGATATATTTTCTGTTTGGGTGGGTCAATTAGTGGTATCTCTCCCAAGAGGCCAGTGCCTGGGTGGGGATTGGTAACTCCAGACACCCCTCTCTGTCGCGTCCCACTGAGCGCAGAGCTTAATCCCAAGGCAACAGTTCTCATCCCCACATCCAGGAATTGAACGTCTCTGATTAATCCAGACGTTAACATGGGAGATTTTCATGAGGAACAGTATTGATGCAAAAGAACCACAGGTAGAGGCAGATTGTTAAGTTCAAGAGCTCACAATCTGAGACAATCTGCAGAAGCAGAGCAAACCCCCTTAACATGTACTAAGAGAATGGTGGAACAGTCACTGAAGGTTGGCATGTAGGTGCAGCAGGCAGTGAGGAAAACTAATGGCATGCTGGCCTTCACAGCGAGAGGATTTGAATATCGGAACAAGGATGACTTGGTGCAGTTACACAGGGCCTTAGTGGGGCCACACCTTGAGTACTGTGTGCAGTTTTGGTCTCCTGGTCTGAGGAGGGAAATTCTTACTATTGAGGGAATCCAGCGAGGGTTCTCCAGTCTGATTCCCAGGATAGCAGGACTGACATATGAGGAATCGACTGGGCTTGTACTCACTGGAATTTAGAAGAGTGAGGGGGATCTCATAGAAACCTATAAAATCCTGTTGGCACTGGACAGGCTAGATGCAGGAAGAATGTTCCCAATGTTTGAGAGGTCAAGAACGAGGAGTTACAGTCTAAGAATAAAGGATAGGCCACTCAGGAGTGAGATGAGGAAGAATTTCCTCTCTCAGAGTTGTGAACCTGTGGAATTCTCTCCCACAGAAAGCCGTTGGGTTCAGTTTGTTAGATTTCTTCAAGAGGGAGCTGGACCGGGCCATTGTGGCTAAAGGGATCAAGGGGAGAAAATGGGAACGGGATACTGAGATTGCATGATCAGCCATGATCTTGTTGCACCTATTTTCTATATTTCTATAATAGCCTGGACTCTAGCATTTTCACATATTAAAGGCAAATTCCAGACATTGCGTGCCAGATGCAATTGATTGGTCAAAGTACCAGTCTTGATGCAAAACACACTTTATTCATAAACTGTAGTTAAAATACAACAAAAGAAAGAAGAAATTGGAAAGTTTAACTGTTGGGAAACTTAACAGAATAATAGATTATTTAACTGTTAATAGTTAACTGTTCCAATACAGTAATAGCCCATAAACACACCCTTGGCAAAGGCAGATTCAGTGAAATAGATTGTCTCACAGGCAATTCGAACAGCTGGAGGAGAACTCCCAGATTTTAGCTGTAACAGAGAATGGAAAAACAGCTTCCACATCCAGCTTCAAGACCCCAGCAGCAACTGCCACTGAAAAATTACAAACTTAAAAACCCTGGCTCTGGGGCAGCTTGAACCCACCCATTCAGGCTGCGTCTATTGTTCCAACTTTAAAAAAAAACATTACCTCACAAGCTGTTTACTTTATTGAACACAAATAGATTACTCAGTACCTCTGTCTTAAAATTTCTCTTCAAAACAAAAACCCAGGACAAAAATACATCACTTACAGACATACAATTGTCACATACATGAAAGGAAATATGGTAGAAGTGGGCAAGTGGGTTGAAACTGCATAGTTATTTCACAGCTGGCACAGGCACATGGGATAAATGGCCTTATCTGAGTCTATGAAACAATGTTGAGCCAAACAGCTTGAGAAAATATGCATCTTTTCCAATCAGACTCAAATGTTCCTCAGCAATGTTGAAAGTTCACCAGTAAAGGACTAATCGAACAAACAACATTGACGGCAGGAAAAGACCAGCTGCAGCCAATGGGAGATGAGTGTGTGAATGACACAGGATTCGGTCACATTCACTCGCTCTCATTCTCATATTTCCATTTCTCTGTCCAATGGCTGGTTTGTAAATTCAACTTGAATTCAAGACAACTTCATTCCTTTGAGTGTTGTATCAGCTTCAGAGCTCCTCACGAGAAACGAACTTGACCAGGTTATGTAAAGCTGCTCCAGCAAAAGTAACAAATTATCACCAAATTCAAAGACGTGGTTCCTGATGGTTAAACAGTGAGACACTTGCAGATTCTGAAACTACTTCAAAATGAACAAGGCGTCAAAATTCAAAGTTGTGGTTCCAGAATCTGAGACAATTTTAAATCTCAATACAGTCAATTGGGCCTAATTCAATAACATGATTGGGATTAAACTCCGAAACCTCTCTGTATTCTAAATCTCTGATTGGGTCTCGATTTCAGTCCCTTCCCTCAGCCCCTTTAGACTCTCCTTTGTTCATTGGTGCCTCGATTGATGGGATTCCTGATTGGCTGTCAGAGATTGTCAATCATCATTGGTGATGTCATTCCCTGGTTGAGTGCAGGATATTCCCAGCAGTATAAATGCAAGAGCTCATGGCTGGAAGGCTCAGTGTTAGAGTTGTCTAGGTAATAGTAAGTAGGACTAGTGAAGATGGCCTCCCAAGCCTCCCAACTGTGTCAGAACTACCACAAGGACTGTGAGGATGCTGTTAACGAGCAAATCAACCTGGAGCTCTATTCCTTCTATGTTTACCTCTCCATGGTGAGGCTTGTGTTCCTTGGAGCTGCATTCTGAAATGTTGTGATTTCAATGGATTGGTTTTAAATTGTATTTCTTTTAATTCTATTTCTGGGGTGTTGGGGCAAGTCTGTGTAGTGACTGTTCCTACAGTGAAATGCAGGCTGATGTTGAATAATCTGCTGTTGGTATTAGCTGCCCTCTATTGAGGGTTAATGAGCAAATAATTCAACTGACTTGACTTCTCAATAGGCTGTTAGCCAGGAGTGACATGGTGTCCCTGTGGTTGGTATTACTGCCTTATGGTGCTAGGGAGTCAGATTTGATTCTCCTTGTGACTGTAATCTCAACACAAACATGCTGTGTCTGTTTGGGTGTCCTCTAACTTTTCAGTGGGAGGAGACATGAGCAAAGATATGGGATAGCTGGATGAGACCTGGGGTACACAAGGTTAAAGGGTAGGGGTGGTGGGTCTGGGTGGATTTAAAGCCTTCCCCAGTAGGATGAAGTGACAAGGTGGCAGATTCCTGCTAGTATTCCCTCTGTCTGGCTACAGAGATGTATTCAATTCAGCTAACTTGATTGACATAATGTAGAAAATGCCTTTCACTATATTGGAATATTCCAATGTGCTTTGTAGCCAACCAACTTCTTTCTTGGTGTAGTTACTATCCACTTGTGCCTGAGATTCAGGCACTAATTTGTGCACAGTATGGTCTTTCTGATAATGCATGGATCCATTCACATTCAGTAATGCCTGAGGTGTAAATGGTCCCCCAATATAATGGGAAGAAGCTCCAATTCTGACATTCAATCCAAGTCAATGAACAGCTTGATGTTCCCTCCTAAATGATGGGCTGTAAGAATGGTCTCTGCACATGTTCTGGGGGTATGGCATACCCCAGTGAAGATTTTGACTTGTGATTTAAGGGAAGGGAAAATGTCCATGTCATTTGTGGCACTTAAGTGTATCTTGAAGAATAAAACCATAGAATAGACACAGCCTTCTCTCCTTTCTTTTCTTCCTACAGTCCTTTTACTTTGACCGGGATGATGTTGCCCTGCGTCACTTTGCTGAGTTCTTCAAGAAGCAGTCCCATGAGGAATGGGAACACGCTGAGAAACTGATGGCATTCCAGAATAAACGTGGAGGCCGAGTCCTCCTGCAGGACATCAAGGTTGGGTTTAATTCTGTCTTTTACTCTACTAGATTAGAAGTAACTCCATTCCATATGGATTTGAAGTAATTTAACTCTGTTGGCTTATGGCCATTCTAGACTGTTGCCCATCTTTCTCTTGTACTCTTACTGGGTTGAACATTCACTAAGAAAGTGACCCCCTTTTCTCTTGCACCATCAGAAGCCAGAGCAGGATGAGTGGGGCAATGGTCTGGAGGCAATGCAGAGAGCTCTGCAGATGGAGAAGGATGTGAACCAGAGTCTGCTGGATCTGCACAAACACTCCTCTGGCAACACGGACCCTCATGTGAGTTAGCAATGCTTCAATGTGGTATTAGTTTAGTGTTGGGTCATGACATCACATTGCTGCTTTACTGACTTTCACTTAAGAGAGACAAGGAAGATCCCTGGGATTTCTGCAACCATACAGTATTGGTGTATTTCATTGTAGTCGTATGGCATGAAAACAGACCCTTCAGCCCATGCCAAACAAAACTAGTTACACCTGTCTGCTCCTTGACCATGTCCTGTCACTATTCATGTACCACTTCAATGTTTTAATTGAACCTACATTTTCCACGTTCTCGGGAAGCTTATTGCACATATGAACCACCTGCTGTAAAAAATATTTGCATCTTGTCTTAATCTTGCTCTCCTCACCTTTTAAATGTCACCTATACTTGGGTGACCAGAACTGGTCCTCCAGAAGAAGGCTTCATGTCCTGTACAACTTTACAATAACATCCCAACTCCATACACCAAGGACTGAGCAATGAAGGCAAGTGTGCAGAACACCTCTTATAACCATCCTGTATGTGACTCTAGCTTTGGAGAATTGTACCTTGATGCCTAGGTCCCACTGTTTGACAACACTACCAAAAGCCCTACCCTCGCTTGTACAAAAGGCAATGCCTTGCACTTCTCCAGCTCTGCACCACTTTTTTTTTTAAATAGAAATGTTGGCTTTGAGGAGAAAATAACGTTGTCCATAAATAAACTTTGTTTCTCTCCAGCTGTGTGACTTCCTGGAGAGGCACTACTTGGATGAGCAAGTGAAGATGATCAAGAAGCTGGGAGATCACATCACCAACCTGAAGAGACTGGGAGCCCCTGACAATGGCACGGGAGAGTACCTGTTTGACAGGCTCACCCTGGGGGAGAGTGACTGAACTGACTGCAGGGAGCAAACTTTGTCTTTTTTTTTCTTGTGTTGCTTGAGACCTTGTGCTGTGAAAACTTGTGGCAAGGCCTAACTCTAGTGAAATGACCAATAACTGTGCAAATAAATTGATCAATTTAAACTGGAATAAGTCTCCTGTGTATCTTCAATGGTTGCTTTCAGACCCCCACCCATTACAAGATGGGGACAGTGGTCTGTGTAATAGTTTTACTATCGGCTCACGGCAACTGGGTCATAAGCCAAAATTGCATTTGACGATCATTCACACTTCTAAAGCACTGTTTCCTTTCTTGGCAAAGTTTCCAGCTGGCAAATCCAAGGAGGAATACTTCATGGGAAGTGCTTATTCATGTTCACTGAGCCCTTGTGTAATGACACCATGAATACAAACATTGTACAAAGAGCTGTGAGGTCTGGCTCTAGTGACTTAATTGCTGACTGAATAAACTGATCAAATTAGACTGGATTTTTGTCTCTGTATTTTAAATGTTGCTTTCAGATTTTGCACCAGACAAGCCAGGATAGTGGTTCTGTGATGTAATCATGGAGCTCATGACAATTGAGTTATGAAATCAAGATTGCATACTAACCATCATTCAAATCACTAGCATTCTCTTCCCTCCCTTTTTGTCCAAAAGTCTTGCTGGGAAATCCAAGCAACTGTTGCCATGCCAAGTGCATGGAATCTACACTTGCTTTTGATAGCAATTGCAACTCTTGTCCTGCTCATTGCTGGATCATAAGGTCCTAAAATATTGTAGTGTAAGGAATGTTTGTCTCTTTCTTCTGCAAGTGAAGGCTTTTTGTTCAGTGTTAAATTGCATTTGAATGGAAGGGAACAGTGTGGCATAAATCCAACTACATCTACAACTTCCCTCCTCTTCTGTTTCCTCCCATCCCACCCCCTTAAATTCTGGAAAGTGGAAAAGGACTAGCCCTGCTGAGGCTGATCTTCAAGTTTCCTGGATATGCCCTGGGCACGATACCATGGGCTGTTTTGCCAGGTCACTTGATAGTCAGTGGCTTTCTTTTGGATGAGGAACATGGGTTTTTTTTTTTTAAACCTCCTGGTCTTTGTCTCTTTCCAACCACTTCTTGTCCTTTGGGTAAATGTTGCTCAAGCTATTGTAAGTGACGCCAGCTGAATGTTTTAAGGGACGTTCAGGATGAAAATCAAGCCCAGAAGTGACATCAAATGAACAGCAAAATGCTTGATAAGCAAGAAACTACTTCACTTTTACAGACCTATTGTATCAATGTTGAAAGCCCTCATCCCAGCAGCTCTTCTAGTTCATAAACTTTTGTAAAGTCCTTTTTGTTTTTGCACTTCATATCTAGTAGGATTATCCTTATCAGATGCTTATTGATCTCCCCATCAATGAATGATTTCAGCTTTGCTGCAATTGTAATCATGTGGTGTTTAACTTCAGGTCCAGTCTGAAAAGGATCATTTGATAGTTACCTCAGGCCAGTAGCTACCAGCTTAAAGCAGGCTCTAATATCCATTAAGTGACTGTGATGTTGCCGGACAACATATTTTGTGATCTCCGGATCAGGACATTCCTTGTATCTCATACTTTTTGACCAGGATGCGCTTAAATCGCTGGACACATTTCTTGTTGGGTAAGATAGCTTTGCCCATTCATAGCATCTGCCCAGAGTTCCCTACTTATACTGCAAATGATGGATCCAGATATGAAGCTCTGGCCCATCTAAGTGAGAATTTTAATTCTAGGGAAGGCATCATTTATGGCGGTAGATCATAACCATCGGACAAGAGTACTTTATCTGTGATTATGGCGAAAGGAAAGAGAACAGCTTGGGTGAGAGAAATGTTTGTGTTTTTCTAGTTCTTGAATATACATAAATGGGGGCTTTAAAGTCAGTCTTTATGCTGGTTTGTGGGTGTAATGGACGAAGGTATATGATGTTAGAATCATTGCTGAGAAAAATCCTTAGTCATTCCTGCACTGCAGGTGAAAAGAAAATGAAGTCCATTGCTCTGCTGGAAGCCACTAACATGAAGGTGAAATCCAAGCAACAATTACAAGGAACCAGACCAAAGAATTTTCATTTGATCTATAAGGAAAAACATCTCAAATGGCACCTATCAGCGACCAATCTCACCCAACAAAATGACTGCAATGTCCTATTGTCTGCTTTTCATGAAATTCAGAGACTGAGCTGTATAGCCTTTTGAACTTTAAGTGTTTTTGCATTTGTTTCTTATTTCTAACCTGTGTGTTGCATTATTATATCTTCAGGCGTTCAGTAACTTAAAATAAATACACTCTTTTGTCAACTCGAGTAATCCTGGTCAAATTGGCTCCTTGTAAAGCACAAAGGTATCCACAAAGGAAGGAATGATTTTGAAATTAACCTTATTATGTCTAACCGTGGGGTGGGTGGATAAAAAAATGGATCCATTTGATCTGTCTTCTTCTGGGAGCTGTGAGGGATCCTGCCTGGAAGCATAATGAATTCGGGAACCTCACCCGAGGTCTGGTCCTAACAATCATCTGATCTAGGACTGAACCAGTTCTGTACTGAAAGGAGATATCAACACATGGGATCTCACAGAAACTGTACCACAAGGTCAAAAAACCCAGAGGGAGACAGAAGGGTTTGTTAGAAGCAATGAGTTATGATCTGGAATTCACTGTCAGACAGGACGATGAAAGCTGGTTTGATACTAACTTTAAAGAACGAATTGGATTCGCTCAAAGAAACAAAGACATTTGCAACACAATCAGGAAAGAGCAGGGGAATGTAACTAGTTCCATAGTTCACAAAGAGCCAGCACATGCACAATGTGTGAAGTGGCCTCCTTTTGTGTTCTACGATCAATGGTGAGCCACGGGGTTAGAGAACATCAACATTCTTGTCTTTTCATGGTATGTAGATATTGCAGGATATTTATTGCCCATCCATAATTAGCCTTGAGAAGATGGTGGTGCTGAGCTGCCTTCTTCAGCGATTGCAGTCCATACATGAATCCACAACATCTTTAGGGAGAGCATTCCAGGATTTTGACCCAGCAACACTGAAGGAACAATGATATATTTCCAAGTCAGAATGCTGAGTGGTTTGTAGGGAAATGCATTTGGCGATATTCCTATGTATCTGCTGTACTTGCCTTCTAGGGAATAGAGGCCATGGGTTTGGAAAGTGCTGTTGAAAATATCTGTGTGAGTTACTACAGTGCATCTTTGTAGATGGCACTCAATCACCGTGGATGGAGGGATGCAATGTTGAAGGTAGTGGATGGGATGTGAATGAAATGGTCTGCTTTGCCATGAATGGTGTCGACATTGTTGAGTGCTGTTAGCTGCTGTAACCATTCAGACACGTGGAGTGTATTCCATTAGTCTCTCCTGTTCTGAGGAAGGCTCACCGGACCCGAAACGTTAATTCTGATTTTTCTTCACAGATGCTGCCAAACCTGCTGAGTTTTTCCAGCAACTTCTGTTTTTGTTCCTGATTTACAGCATCCACAGTTCTTTCAGTTTTTATCCATTATTCTGTTGTTTATTGCCTTGTGGATAGCAAACAGGCATTGGTATCAGGAGGTGAGTCATACACCACAGAATTCCTAACCTCTGAGCTCTCTAGTCACAGTATTGAAAAGGCTGGTGCAGTTCAGTTTCTGGTAAGGCCAGTTTCATTCTTGCATGATATGGGCATTGCCAGGCATTTATGACATGAATATGAATTGCCGTTTATCAGACCAAGCCTGGATGTCATTTAGATCTTGCTCCACATAAACATGAGCTGCTGTAGTATCTAAGGAGTCACAGAAGTTGTTGAACATTGTGTAATTGTTGGGGAACATCCACTCCTGAACTAATGATGGAGGGAAGGTCATTGACAGAGCAGCTGAAGATGATTCATTATTTCAGAAGCAAACATTCCTCAGCCACATTCAAAGTCAACCAGAAAAGGATTAATCAAACAAAAACAATTTTGACGGGTGGAAAAGAGCAGTTGCTCCATTGAACCTGTCCCCAAACTCGCTATAACCAATGGGAGATGAGTCAATGGGTGATATTGGATTCAATCATATTCATTCCCTCTAATGCTCAGACACCCATTTCTCTGTCCAATGGCTGGTTCCTATCTTCCTTCAAGGCAAAACACTTCACACGTAACAAACATATCCAGGTTTTGAAAAGCTGCTTCAGCATAAGTAACAAATTAACACTAAATTCAAAGATATGGTTCCAGAGGATTAAACAACGAGACACTTGCAGGTTTCGAAGAAGCTCATGGAACCCAAAACCAGTGACATTATCAGGACTAATCGATCAAACCTCTTTGTTTTCTAAATCAGTGATTGGCTCTGGATTGCAGTACCGCCTCACCTTTGATCACTGGGACATTGGTTCATGGGAGGTTTCTGATTGGCTGTCAGAGATTGTCAATCATCATTGGTGATGTCATCTGTTGGTTGAGTGCAGGATGGTCCCAGGAGTATAAGTACAAGAGCTTGTGGGAGAGAAGCTCAGTTCTAGAGTTGTCTAGGTGGTAGTGAATGTAAATAGTGGAGATAGCCCCACAAGTGTGTCAGAACTACCACAAGGACTGTGAGGATGCTGTTAACAAGCACATCAACCTGGAGCTGTATTCCTCCTATGTCTATCTCTCTATGGTGAGTGTGGTGTTCCTTGGAGCTGCATTCTGAAATGTTGTGATTTCAATTGCTTGGATTTAAATTGTTTCAGTTGATTCCATTTGATAGGGGATGGGATGCAGGTGTAAGTCCCTATGTAGTGTGTTTCTGGAGTGAAATACAGGGTGACATTGAATGGCCTGCTCCTGGTAGCAGTAGTTGCCTTTTATTGAGGCTTAATATGCAAACAACTCCACTATTACCTAAATTCTCAAACAGACTACAACCAACATGGCCATTACTTTTGTGGGATTAAAAATGTGCTGAGTAGGGTGCTGAGTAGGATGCTAAAGTGAAATGTTGGCAGATTCCTATTAAACCAGCCCCTTCATGCTTTCTGTAAATCCACAGAGATGTTTTCAGTTCTGGCTAATGTTGGATTAAAAACATAGACCAAATGTATCTTTCACTATATCTGGATATCAGTGCATTTGTATCCAACAAATTGCTTTGATGCTGCAGTTACTACCTGTTTGTGCCTGGGGTTTGGAAGCTCCAATTGATGTGTGGCCCAGCATTTCTGGGAATGCTGAGATCCAAGCATTCATCAGTGATGCTGAGGTGTGGATAATAGACAGAAGTCATTATTTAGGAATCTTCATTTAATCTGAGTGGACAGATTTGTGCTCCCCCTACTAAATGAATTGCTATGTTGTGGATATTATTGGTGTATGGCATAATCCCAGTTAAGATCTTTGATGTTAGTAAGGGAGGGGGAAATGGTTAATTTAACTTGTTAAAGGTAATTAAGTATGTTGTTGTACTTGGAAGAATTCATTATCTGGGTGCGAATGAAGTCTTCCAATACACAGCTTGACACGTTGATTCTCTCCCACAGTCCTTTTACTTTGACCAGGATAATGTTGCCCTGCGTCACTTTGCTGAGTTCTTCAAGGAGGAGTCCCATGAGGAACAGGAACACGCTGAGAAACTGATGGCATTCCAGAATAAACGTGGAGGCCGAGTCCTCCTGCAGGACATCAAGGTTGGTGTATCTTCCAACATTACAACTACCTGAACTAGACATGGATTTGAAGCTTGAATTCTGCTGGGGTAATGCCACAATGCTATATGGCATGCTAGTTCCTAGTTGCAGTTCCATCTCATTGCATTGCACTTCCCTTCACTCTTCACATGAATGAAGCATCTACCTCTTCCTTCCCTCCAGAAGCCAGAGCAGGATGAGTGGGGCAATGGTCTGGAGGCAATGCAGAGAGCTCTGCAGATGGAGAAGGATGTGAACCAGAGTCTGCTGGATCTGCACAAACTCTCCTCTGGCAACACGGACCCTCATGTGAGTTAGCAATGCTTGGATGTGGCTCAGTTTGAGTCTGGGGTCACACTATTTCTCACTGCTGTCTTATTGACTGTGCCTCAGGGTGAAGGGGCCAATATTGTCCCTGTGATCCAAGTAACCATGCAACAATCATCTATTTGACCATCTCTGCACCACTTGACTCCCCATCTTCACAAGATGGAAATCTCAACTTTTTTTTTTTGAGGAAAATCAACTCAGTTGTTGTTTGTTTTTCCTTTCCAGCTGTGTGACTTCCTGGAGAGGCACTACTTGGATGAGCAAGTGAAGATGATCAAGAAGCTGGGAGATCACATCACCAACCTGAGGAGACTCTTAGCCCCTGAGAATGGCATGGGCGAGTACCTGTTTGACAGGCTCACCCTGGGGGAGAGTGACTGAACTGACTGCAGGGAGCAAGCTGCTTGTGTATATTACTGCTAAATGTGTAACCGAGGTGTGCAGAGTGTGGCTTGTGATGTGCATAGTGTGACACCTGGCTCTATAGCAAAATGTGCAACAATAAATCTGCTCCATACTGGATTCTGTCTCCTGTTTCAATTATTACTTTCTGATCTAGATATCTGACTTGCAAGACATGGTGGCTCAGTGGTTAGCACTGCTGCCTCAGTGCCAAGGATTCTTGTTTAATTCCACCCTTGGGCAACTGTCTGTGTGGAGTTTGTATGTTCTCCTTGTGCCTGTTTGGATTTCCTCCAGGTGCTCTGGTTACCTCCCATCGTCCAAAGATGTCCAGTCTGTTAGTTGGCCATGCTAAATTGCCCTACTGTGTCCAGGGATGTGCTGACTAGTTGGGTTATAGGGGGATGGTGTCTGGGTGGGATACTCAGGGTGGTGTGGACTTGTTGGGTTAAAGTTACACTGTAGGGATTCCCTGATTCAACACTTTGCAGTCTTGGTGTTTTGTAATTAACAAGTGAACCCAAAGCTTAAGACTGCACCATGCAGTGATGGCCATAATGTGAATATGGTGCAATGCTCCAGTGTGGCTCAGAAGCAAGTGTTTTTACTATTACCCTCCATGCATAGTACCTTGACCTAAACCCTTCCCCAAACCAGATAGGATTGGTGTCCAAATGAGCATATCACTGGCCCTCTTGAATGGCAGTCCTAGATGAGGAGGGAGCTGTCAGGGAAGAGCCTAGCTACCTGACCATGGGAGTGGGGGGGATCCTATTGCCAATCATGACTAATCTCTGCCTCATTCAAAGCAATGTTAGGAGCCAGTTTGTTGCACTAGAGGATTGTTTTCAATTAAAAACAGATGGTGATTTTGATGGATGAGTTTTCTACCATGCTAAATGGAAATGTATACTGACATCGAGACATCACTCAACTTGAATGGCTTTGTAAATCCTTTTTAGGAATTCTAGTAAGCTCTCAGTGCCAAGTGGTAAATGATTGATTGGCATTGAAACCTGTGTCCTGAGAGCAGTGCCCCCCACCCCACTGACCCCACATATCTGGTCTATAAGTGAAATCAGCTGCTGTCTAGACTTAGGAACTTAGCCATGATGCTGCAAAAGCATAACATTTCAATCCCCATTCAGTCATGTTAAGAACTTCTTTGCACCTCCAAAACACACAAATTATCAATATCCTCATACCAAAGGACAATTCTCCACTCCAATCCCTGCTCTGGTCAAGTAGATAAAATTTTTCACCTCAATCAGTAACTTTTCCCCCGAGCCAGTAACCACAGGCCTTCAATGTGGGTGAGCATTGCTTATGATGTGGGGATAAAAGGCCAAACCAAATCAGCCTCCCTAAACCTGGCCTCAAACACAATAAAATGAAAACATTCCAAGATCCTCATTGTCCAAATGTTGTTTGTAAAACCTGGTTAGAAGAAAATCAAATACCAAATTTAAAGCTTAAGCAAGTTAATTTATTAAGTGTAATTTTAGCAGAGTAAAGCTAAATATTGTAATCTGATGTCTCTAATTTAAACCCAATCTTTGATCATAATTCACATGGATAGACATAGCTAAGGGATAAATTGAAAAGAGTTACAGTTGATCAGTTCACTTAAGCAGTTTTGAAAGATGGTTGCTAACCTTTCATTCAATCCTTGGATAATGAGTCATCCACAGGCATGCAGGACTGTGTATCTTCCTCAATTCTTATTTCAATGGAAAAAGGTTCTGTTGGAGACTTTTACTCAGTGACTTACGGACTGGGGTTCTTCTCAAAGCTTCCAATAATTTGATAACCGGATGTAAACTAGAGAATAACTAAAACTCTATCCAGCAGTTTTCACTAGCACACTGGTCCCTAGCAGAGATATCTGTTGTTGCAGGGGGCCCTGGGGCATGTAGTTAAACAGAGACCATGGTTTCAGGTATGCAATTCATTGAAAGTTGTGTCACAGGTGGACAGTGTATTTAAGAAAGCAGTTAGCACACTTGCCTTCATTGCTGAGACCAACTGAGTATAGGAGTTGGCACATTGGTGGGGCCAGTTTTGGAGTACTGTGTACAGTTCTGGTCACTCTGCGAGTGGAAGGATATTATTAAATTGGAAAGGGTTCAGAAAAGACTTACTGGGAAGTTGCTGGGACTGGAGGGTTTGAGTTATAACGATAGCTTGGGCCTTTTTTCACTGGAGCAGGGCAAGTTTATAAAATCATGAGGGACATGAATAAGGTAAATAGCAAGGATTTTTTTTCCCCTAGGGTAGGCAAGCTCAAAACTAAAAGGCATATTTTTAAGGTGAGAGGAGAAAGATTTAAAGGGGATCTGAGGGGCAACATTTTCACACAGAGGCTGGTTCATATGTGGAATGAACTGCCAGAGGAAGTGGCAGATGCAGGTGCAGTTGCAATATTTCAAAGACATTTGGACAGGGACATGAATGGAAAAGGTTTAGAGGGATATGGGCCACCCGCAGACAAATGGGATTAGTTTAGTTTGGAACACTTCGTCGAGTTGGGCCGAAGGGTCTGTTTCTATGCTGTACGGCTCTATGACACTGCCTTCTGCCGAAAAAAAGCCATCAGAGCCTGGTCAATCTTTGGTTTCTCTGTTTTTCCAGCATTCTCTCTGCTTGACTGTTGGCACTGGCCAAACTTTTATTGTCCTTTTTAACATCCAAGCGCTGCCAGTCCTTGAACATAATGTGCCCCAGGTGTCTAAATGTGTAGACTGCCCTTTGACAGGGACAGGTATAAGTTCCTGGATATATTTTCTGTTTCGGTGGGTCAGTAGGTGGTACCTCTCCCAAGAGGCCAGTGCCTGGATGGGGATTGGTTGCTCAGACACCCCTCTCTGTTGCGTCCCACCGAACCCAGAGTTTAATCCAAAGGGAACAGTTCTCATCCCCTCATCCAGGAATTGAACAGCTATGATTAATCCAGACGTTAACATGGGAGATTAATGAGGAACAGTATTGATGCACAAGAATGACAGGTAGAGGCAAGTTGTTAAGTTCTAGAGCTCACAAGCTGAGACAACAGGAGAATCAGATTAAATAGTGACTTTCAAGTAGATGTTGGATATGTACATGGTATGGACCAGACTAAACCCCCTTGAAATATGTTAAGACAATGGCCTAGACTCTAATATTTCTTATTTTAATAGCAAATACCAGGCGTTGCATCCCAGCTGCAATTGCATCAGTAATACTACTAGTCTTGAAGCAAAACACTTTATCAATACACTATATTTAAAATACAACAAAAGAAAGAAGAAATTGGAATAACTTAGCTCTATTGGAAAACTTAACAGAATAATAGATTATTTAACTGTTTAATTAACTGTTTAGAAACAGTAACTGTTTCCATATAGTAAAATCCCATAAACACACCCTTGGCAAAGGCTAATTCAGTCAAATAGATTGTCTCACGGGTACCTCTAGCAGCAGGAAGTGAAACCTCAACTTTTAGCTGCAACAGAGAGAGGAAAAACAGCTTCCACATCCAGCTCAAGACCCCAGTAGCAACTGCCACGGAAAAATCAGAAACTAAAAATCCTTGTTCTGGGGAGCTTCACCCCACCTGTTCAGGCTGCTTCTATCGTTCCAACTTTAAAAAAAAACACTTAAGGCTCCACAGGCTGTTTAATTTATTGAATTCATGTAGATAACTCAGTGCCTCTGCCTTAAAACTAATCTTCAAAAAAAAGGGACAATATATACCTCTGAAAGCCATACTATCATCATGTACATAAACGGAAACGTGGAATATGTGGGCGAGTGGGTCGAAGCTGCATTGTCATTTCAAAGAGCTGGCATAGACACAGAGGATAAATGGCCTCATCTGTGTCTATGAAACAGTGTGGAGCCAAAGAACTTGTATGGGTCTTGTATGACATATGGGTCTTTTCCAATTAGACTCAAATGTACTTCAGCAATGTTGAAAATTGACCAGAAAAGGACTCATTGAACATACAACTTTGATGAGAGGAAAAGACCAGCTGCTCCATTGAGCCTGTCCCCAAACTCGTTGCAGCCAATGGGAGATGAGTGTGTGGTTGACATAGGATTCGGTCGCATTCACTCGCTCTCATTCTCACATTTTCATTTCTCTGTCTAATGGCTGGTTTGTAAATTTAAATTGGATTCAAGACAACTTCATTCCTTAGAGTTTTGTATCAGCTCCAAAGCACCTCAGAAGTAACAAACTTGACCAGGTTATGAAAGCTGCTCCAGCAAAAGTAACAAGTTATCAAGAAATTCAAAGATGTGGTTCCGCAGTGTTAAACAGGGAGACTCTTACAGATTCTGAAATAACTTCAAAATGAACAAGACGTCAAAATTCAAAGTTATGGTTCCAGAATCTTAGATACTTTTGAATCTCAATATGTTCAATTGGGCCAAATTCAGTGATATGGCTGAGATTAAACTCGCAAACCTCTTTGTATTCTAAATCTCTGATTGGCTCTGGCTCTCAGTCCCGCCCCCACAGCCCTTTTGGTCTCTCCTTTGTTCATTGGTGACTAGATTGATGGAGATTCCTCATTGGCTGTCAGGGATTGTCAGTCATCATTACTGATTTCATTCCCTAGTTGGGTGAAGGGTGTTCCCAGGAGTATAAATACAAGAGTTTGTGGGAGAGTGGCTCAGTTTTAGAGTTGTCTAGGTGATAGTGAGCTGGAATAGTGAAGATGGCCTCCCAAGTGTGTCAGAACTACCACAAGGACTGTGAGGATGCTGTTAACAAGCAGATCAACCTGGAGCTCTATTCTTCCTATGTTTACCTCTCTGTGGTGATCTTTGGTGCTGCTTTCTGAAATGTTGTGATTTCAATGGATTGGATTTAAGTTGTTTCTCTTGATCCTATTTCTTAGGGGATGGGGTGTAAGGGCAAGTCTTTATGGAGTGCTTCTGGAGTGAAATACAAGATGCTGAATAATCTGCACCTGGTAGCTGCTGCCTTCTGTTGAGGCATAATGGGGAAAACAACTTGAATATCATCTGAATCTTCTGCCAGGTTGCTCCTAACTGGGGTGATAGGGTGGCTCAGTGGTTAGCATTGTTGTCTCAGACCCTGGTGCCTGGGTTTGATTCCAGCTTTGGGTTTCTGT